AGAAAATAGACTTGTGTTCTTATTGGACTACTGAGTCATAATGATTTATATGGGAGATTTATTAGAGTGGCTTACAGGCAGTAATCTGAATAGTTCAACCATAGTTGTCTCCCAGTAGAAAAGCCGCCAAGGATCTGGTAGTTGTTCAGTCCATAAGGCTGAATGTCTTGATTGTCACGGTCAGGTGTTGGAGTCCCTAGGAAATCCTAGAGAGCTGCTTGTCTTTCAGTATACATTGGGATCTGGAAGAAGTGGGTTTCTGATACCACGAAATGAATGCCTCCACCACAGGGTAGATGAACTTGCCAGCAGGAATGCAGGCATAAGCAAAAGCCTTTATGTAGGCTGCCATTAGAAGGTGTGGCCCAAACTTGGGGGTAAGAGGGGTCTGTCTTCTCAGCTTAAGTGATCTGTTCAAGTGTGCCAGATGCTTGGGTTTAGTTAGGTCTAGATGTAGCCAATCTGATAACCCAGATTAGCTGTCACAGCATGGTTAATACAGTCCTCAATTTAAATCACTTAGGCCTAGTTTTTTCCTCCCTGTACACTAGCCAAGATGGCCTTACCATAATCTACTGCTTCACTGATGACCTTTGCCCATCCTGCCTCCATCTCACCTCTGTCACACTGGCTCACGCCAGTGCTCACTGGTGCTCAGATACCCCAGGCATAGTCATGAATCCCTTAGGGCGGTCGTTTTTAACTTGTGGGTCCTGATCTTTTCACAAGGGTTACCTAAGACCACCAGAAAACACAGTACTTACATTATAATTCATAACAGTAGCAAAATTGCATTTATGAAATAGCAATGAAATAGTTTTATGGTTGAGGGTCACTGGACTAAAGGGTTGCATCACTAGGAAGGTTGAGAACCACTGACTTACCAGCTTCCAGAGCTCTTCCTGGAGAGCTTTACCTCCAGAAACCAACGCCTTTCTTGACCACATGTCCCTATGCTGGTACCCACTCCAGAGCCCCTCACTCTGTCTACTACTTGTTTTGCTTGTGAGCCTAGCCCTTAACAGCTGAGCCATCCCGCTAGCCCTGACGCTTACCACTTACTAACCTTCCATAGTCTCGTGATTCAATGTGCTTATTGTCCATTATTTGCTCTTTACCATGATGAACAAAGAGTTTTTATTTTGTCCAGCAACATATACAAAGGGATTTAAAAAGAAGTATCAGGCAATCGTGGGTGTTCAGGAAATATTTGTGGAATAATACCTCTTGACATTTTTTTTAAGTGAGGCATTTCAGTGTTGGGTAAAAACATGGGAAATGAATGGAACTGGTTAAAATCTGTAGCATAGGAGAGATTTGTATTCTTATTGTACTTGTCAATATTGAGCCATTAATGATCAGAAGGAAGTAGGTGTGGTTTGCTGAAATTCTTGTTTATAGACCCATCACATAGCTAGCCAGATGGGAGGCAAAAGATTGTGATTACTCTTGGCTCTGTGTGTTGTTTCTTGTCCTATTATCACAGTTGTACCAAGGAGGAGGCTAATGGCTTTTTGCACAAGAAAGCTTCAACCCGATCTTCCTTGTTGTCTTTGCCATAGCAACAGTTTTGTCTGAAGACTTTCCTTCCAGTATTGTAAGCCATGAGGCAGTGCCCTTCATCTCTCTAGGGAGAGATCCTCCCACCTCTTTCTAGTGGGATCTTGGTGTCTGCAAATGTTAGGAGCATCCCAGGCTGGAGTGATAGACCTTAGCCAGAGTGAGCCCTTAGAAAATTAGAGCCACCCCATGTTTTCTGGCAGATGGTATTAAACCATGTGCAGAAAAAAAAGATGTTAAAATCACACTGAAAAAAAAAAGATTATTCTGCTCCTAGAAGCATGATATTTGAGAAAACAGAAAATTATTCAGAGTGTAAGATGATTGACATAGATGATATATTTTGATATTACTAATGTTCAGGGATTATTGGGAGAGGTTTAGGTATGAAGTGGTATTGGAGTTTTGCCTTTATAGGAAGGAACCTTTCTGTTTAACAGATGTGTGTGGATAAGATATATGGTAACTGGGTTTGCCACAAACACACAAGATTTGGGATAAAGTAGTGGCTCTCAACTTGTAGGTCGAAACCCCGGCAGGGATCATATACCAGATATTTACATTGTGATTCATAAAACTAGCAAAATTACAGTTATGAAGTAGCAATGAAATAATTGTATGGTTGGGGGTTACCACAATATGAGGAACTGTATTAAAGGGTCTCAGCAATAGGAAGGTTGAGGACCACTAGATTAGAGGAAGAGATAGAGCAAACCCATATTGGCAAGCAGTTGGCTATTGCTGAAACTGATTGATGGGTAGGTGAGAGTCTTTATATTATTGTGTCTACTTCCTTATGGGTTTCTAATATTCAAGTAATAAGGTGTTTTTAAAACATGATGGTAGCTGTTGAGCGCTTTGACTTGTTTCTCTTCTGATTATAAATGAAATACTTTGGGTATTGTACACCATGACCTGTGGTGTTGCCTTAAAAGCCCTCCATGCTGAGAAACTACTGTGCTGGAGAATATTAAATGTCTTAGCAATGTCTTCAATTATTACGTTTTTGTATTGTGCCCTATTGCTGAAGAATGCCTCACTCCTATATGATCTTAGTAAAACCCCTATGCAATGGCGCATGCCTGTAACTCCAGGTACTCAGCAGGCTCAAGGTCCGTGACTTCAAGGCCAACCGGGGCTTCTAGAAAGACCCTTTCTCGAAAACTAAAATAGAAATAGTTTTCTTGTAGTTCTTATAAAACCTACAAGTAGTCACTGTCTCAACCATCAAGGTATTACTGGGCAGCTCATAAGTGCCAGCCTTCTGCTGGGCACAGGAGCATGGCAAGGAACAGGACTGGCCACCCTAGCGCCCCTGAGGTTTCCCTCTCAGTGCTCAAGTTAGACCGTAACTAGGTTCAGGTGGTGGTGAGGCTTCCCTGGCTTGCCAACTGCCAGAGACTCTGGATTCCTGAGCTCAAGAATGCTGGGGATAATATGAGCAGGCACCTGCCTTCTTTGCCATGGGCGGGGCTATGCTCTACAATGAGGCAAATAGAGGCAGAAAGCCTTCAGCGTTCTGTTCCATCAGCATCGTGGTTCCTGATCAGTCTTTTCCCGTGTTGGCAAGAGTTGGATGTTTAAATTAATCTCTCAGGTTGTTGTCAGTACTCTGAAGTTCCTGTGTCTTTATAGCTATTTTAGTGCTGAGCACAGAGAGCCTCCAGGGACTTGGAAGCAAACACCATTTGCACTGAACCAGATGTGTACATTTGCAAATCATCCTGGAACCTTCGTAACCCACGTTACTTATCCTGTCAGTAGTTTTTCTGTTTCCCTCATTTGAAAAGTAGGCCTGACTGTAAGAAAACTTACAACTGCAGCCAGCAACATCCACTCCTCACTAGAATGACTGGCCACCTACCTGTGTCCAGTCCTCCATCCTCCCAAATATCTCCCAGCCAGGTCAACAAGATGGGATAGATTGTTTGGAGATCCCCGGGATTATTGGATTTGAACCAGACAGCTTTCCTCTGGAGCCCTGTGTTTAGCCAGTGTACCCATAGCCTGTTTTCAGTGCAGTCCTGAGGATGCAGATTTCTGTTCAAGATGCTCTTCTTTCTGTTTCAGGTTTTGCTAATCTTTGCAAAGGAGGATAGCCAGAGTGATGGCTTCTGGTGGGCCTGTGACAGGGCTGGCTACCGATGCAACATTGCTCGCACTCCAGAGTCAGCCCTTGAATGTTTCCTGGACAAGCATCATGAAATCATTGTGATTGATCACAGGCAAACCCGGAACTTCGATGCAGAAGCGGTGTGCAGGTGGTGCCTTCCTCGTCTAAGTTGCTTAGTAATCCCCACCCACCCACCCATCTGTTCTAAATGGACTTCCTCTACAGACAGCTTTGGGTCCCAGCCCTGACCTGGGAGTCAGAGACCTGGATTGCTAAAATGAAGGCTATGGTCCTTCCTACAGGCACATCTTGCCTTCCCCTTCCTGCACATTAGAATCACACTGAGTTTAGAGGCAGGATTTGTCCTAAAGCTTGAGGATGGTCCCCTCCTCCCGCCCCAAGTATTACTCATAAAAGAGTCATTAAAATTCACAGTTTTTACTACATGTAGTTAGATTTAAAGTAGATATTTTAAACTTCATTATTCTGTCCCAAAATGAACATCAGAAATGTGTGAAACAGAGACTTTTCCATACGTGACACAGATGGGCAGATGGGAAGCAGGCTTCCCAGACATAGATGGAAGAAGGGAGCCACTTTAGTAGCAGAGTCTTCCTGGGGTCCAGGCTCCTACTTGTTTATACAAATGCTTGCAGTTTGGGAAGCAAGCACCTGTCTGTTCATAAATAAGCACACAGTGTTAAGAGTTGGCTCAGAATGAACTGGCTCAGTCAGAAGTGGGGCACCAGGAAGTCCGCCTGGAGGAACCGTTCATTAATTGAGAACAGGACAGAGTCCAATTCCATGTGGGGCTGGGCTTTTATTGAAGATTAGTAAGTGAAAGGTAGAGAAATTAATTCTTAAAGCTTCTGGTATACTGACAAAAATACTACTGGATTAAGAAGTTTTTGTTTGTTTTTTTTATCACTGGCATTGCCTTGCTATTTTTTGGTGACTTGAATTTTCCCAAAGAGTTTTTTTTTTTTTTAATTAACCAATGTTTAAGTATTTTAACAGTTTCAAAGTTTGCCTCTCTCCAAAGAAATATTTTCCTATTTAATAAAACATACACACACACAGACACACACACTGCTATTTTTACTATTAAGAAATATGTTTTCTTTCTAACTAGGTATAATGAAACACATCAGTTATCCCAGCACTTGGGAGACTGAGGCAGGAGGATTGCCTGAGTTACATAGCCAGACACTGGAAGAACAAAGAACAAACAAAACAAAATATATTTTCTTTCTAAATAATTTTCAGGGTAGGGTTGGGTCGTGGCCGTCACTCGCTCGTCACATATATGGCTCTGTAGTCCAACACGGCTGCTCATATGCACATGTATAGTTATTGAGGACAAGCATCCCTGAAGGCCCAGGTTAGCAATCTTCGTGTTCTTCCTTAGATGTTGAAGCATGATGTTGGTGCCCGGAAAAGCAGTGGGGGAATGTGAGGTCCCGAAGGAAGCTGTATGTATCTGTGCTTGTTGACTGTTACTGGTCCTGTTAAGGGTGGCCAGATTCTTAAATGATTGACAACCACCTGTAGGCCGAGGTCCCAGGCTTTTTGGCTATCCTGTATCTTCCTTCATTTAGCATGCTGACTGTAGACCGACATATGTCCAGATATCCCTGAGTCTGTCATCAGGAAGACATCGAAGTCCCTCTTAACACAAATTCCTTCTGAGGAGCAGGAAGTAACCCTAAAGACAGGTGCCAGCCACAAAGGAAGCCAAGGGACTGGTCCCACCCAGCATGCTCAGTATGCCTCTTTCTAAGTCTAGGCTCTTAGAAGGTGACCTGGTATTGTGTCCATGGCACTGGGTGGAGCGAGGGGCTACATGAAAGGGAGATGTATATAGCATCTCCCCAGATCTCAGAGAGCCTCTCAGACACTGTATCTGTTTTGTTTTGTTTTGTTTTGTTTTTTCCTTCATATGATAGAGATTGGTACTTATCTGTGTGTCTATTGCCTTAGGCTCCTAAATGTAAAGTGAGTCTTCTGGAGCTTACTCTGTGGGAGCCTGGTTTGGAGCAGGAAGATTTGAGTGCCAGCACTAGAGTGGTCTGGTCTAGCCTCCCTACCCTTGGCAATGAATGGTTCCTCTTAGAAAGATCTCAAATTAAGCAGAAGTCAGACCACAGTTATAGGCTAAAACAGCTAATGCTAGTTTCCATGGTTTCAAGAATGTGGCCCTTTATTAAAAGTTTGGCCAACCCATGAAGACCTGACCAGAGGAGTCTAGAATCTGAGCTTCATGAAGCATCATCACACATCTTGTAAGGTTCACAAACCTCAAAACCCTATCGTCTGTATGTGCTTCTATTCTCTGAAATTGCGAAGAAATAAATTACCTACAGGTGGTCCCAGTTCAGCAAATTTGATGGACAGTTGCTATTTAATCTTTCTCAAGCCCAGCTGATGGCCAAGTATAGAAGCATCAGTGACAGTGGGGGAGGGGCTCTCTTTGAATGATCTTTAGCCAACAAGTACTTCAGCTCTCTGTGTTTGCTTTGAAAGGAAAGGTATCCAGCCTAGTTAGCTGCCCAGGCACAAACTGAGCACAAAGTGCCTTACTTTAAAAAGAGAGTCAGAGTTCAGTCAGAAAACATGAAACTCAAGTGGAATTTGCCAATTCTGAAGTAGAAAACTGGCGAGTCTGACCTTTTGGAAAAATTGCTCAGGAGTTTAAAACAATTACAGAATTAAATAAATTGAAGATATTGTCCCGATTCACAAGGTCATCTTTCTTTGCTGTCTCATGCGTGTTCTGAGACTTTTTTCTTTGAAGGATGATTTGACTTGGTACCGCCGTCAGCTTAGAGACGTTTCCGTAATAGTTCAGTGTAACAGAGCCCAGATCGTGGCTTTGACTTGAAGCTTCTTTTTACAGGTCAATCCGGGCCACTAACCCTTCTGAGCACACTGTGATCCTGGCTGTGGTTTCACAAGCGTAAGTATATCCCCGACCCTACCCCAGCAGGACCCCCACCCCCAACAGCACCCTCTCACCGCCTGCAGCAGCCCCTACCCCCAGCAACACCTTCTACCCCCAAAAGTACCTTCCACCTCCAGCTCCACGCTCCACCCCCAGTAGTACCCCCAACCCCCAGCTCCACCCTCCATCCCTAGCAGCAGCACCCCCCCCCCCACAGCATTACTATTCCATCTGAGACAGTTACATGACGTAATCCGGGTTTTGAACCAGCCAGAGCTGGGCATATCTTAGACTGTGCAATGCCACTCCTAGAGCTTGCTTTGACGGTTTTATTTTCCAAGTTTCCAAAATTATTTAGGGTTATTTTCTCTCTCTCTCTCTCTCTCTCTCTCTCTCTCTCTCTCTCTCTCTCTCTCTTACATAATTGCTGTTAGCACGTTTTCACACACTTTGGGGGGAAAATAGGTTTCTCATCACCATGACAATGCCAAAAATGAGTAGGAAAGCTAAGAACTCTGGAGAGAACATTGTTCCAGTTCATCTTCTTCCTTTGAGGAAAATAGAGATGGAAAAGTGCTTGAGTTTTCACGTAAGACTGTGACATGAGAGGTACAGAGGTGGCAAATCCATCGTAGGAAAAAGATTGTGTGGCTTAGGTGAGGACTGCTGTGTGGCCACAGAGGCCCACAGACTTCGGCTGGTTTGGGACTACAAAGATACTGGCTGCCAGTATGGTGACACCCTGGAATGAAAAACTGTTCTGCTAGGTTTAGTGTCTGGAATGTTCTGCACTTAAAATGCAAGGGCTGGCTGAAAGAAAGAGGTAGTTTGTATGTGCTACAATACTTGGAATCCTTGCTGGTGGTAAAAATTGTCGTAGTCAATTAATGGCTTTCATTAGATTCAGAGAGACTAAGATGCTAATTAGGACCTGGGACCTGTTGGACTTGGCTCTCTTACGGTGTTTGGCACAGAGTCTTTTGCAAAGGAGCAGGCAGGCTAGCAGCTCTGACAAGAAGGTGTGGGGTTTCCCAGGACAGGCTGGCCCAGGGGGGAGTTGACACATGTGCCCTGTAGGTCACACTGGTACAAGAGGAAGCCATGGCTGCAGGGGCCGGCCCTGATCAGGGCCCTGTGTTGAAATGCTGCCCTTTGAGGCTCTTTACTTGATGGCTTTCATGCGCTTTGGACAAAAGAACAGGAAGCTTTGTCTCCATGGATGCCTGATACCTACTGTTCTGGTGGGAGATTATTCCAGAAAAAATGAGTGGCAAGCTGAAGGAGGTCAGCCCCCTTCCCCACTTATCTCCAGGGATCTGAATAGGATTATACAGCCTTGGACCTGACATCAGAGAAACCATACTACACAGCATCTCCCAAGGCCACTTATTCCCTGGTTACCAAAATGCCTACTGTCCTTTTCCTATATCTAAACGTTTACCAGTCCTTGACCAGGAGTGGTTTTCTATGACTTGTTACGATAGTTCTGTTTTTTTTTTTTTTTTAATCAAATGCTTCTTATATAGAGAATGATGCTAAGTGACTGCCTCTGTCTTCAGCACTTAGTTTAGGAAATAGAATATTACTACATTGGAACGGTTGTAATACATCATTCACAGAAGGCAGAAAGTTAGAGGGCAGGGGAGATGGTTCCTCTGGCAGGACTCCGGTCTGGGAGAGCCACAGACAAACTAGGCTTTCTATTCTGTTTTCTAATGACATGTCACCCAACCCCTCTTCTGTTTGTCTGCCTTAAATTTCAAGGTATGTACCCTCTGCAATCCCCCGAGGTCTCAGGGACCCTCTTTCAGTTTCTTGATGGTGACTGCTGAGTTATGAGGCATCCTCATGACATGCCGGCCCCCACCCTACCCTTTTACTTATAGCCCAGCTCCATGCTCTGTATTCAAAACTGTCTCAGGAGATAGGTGACCATGGGTAATTTGGTTTTCCTCCCTTCTGGATTTCTGTTCAGATTTCTACTTCTTTCTCATTTGGTTGTAAGGTCCTATAGACTGTAATGTCAGTTATCTGCATCACCTCGGGATTCGAGCCCAGCTAGGCCTTGGGGTAGGAGTTGAGAATCCAGTGAGAAGCAGTATCCTTGACCTCTCCTTTTGAGGGACTGCTCTCATACATCTGCTCCAACCCCAAAGGGCAACCCAGAACTAAAGTGACTCACCCCTGCACTGGGAGCATTTTCGGCACACTGCCGTTGCTTTTTCTGCTCCCTGTGTTCCGCTTACATCTGGAAGACAGATGTGGGTTCTGCGTCCCCGAAGGCAGGTGCTCCCTGGGCACATGCTGCTCAGGAAGCCTTTCTAGACCGACCTCCAGTGGCCTCATTGCTCTCTCTCCATATTTCAGTGTGAGGAATCCTGGTTTGTATCTGCTGAGTGACCACATTTTCTGCTTTGCTGCAGATCTGATGACCACGAAGAGGCCTCCGTTCTTCCTCTTCTCCACGCAGGCTTCAACCGGGTATGTACAGGGGAACTGAATACCTCTCATTAATGCAGGGACCAGCTCCCTGACTCTCCCCTTAGAGCAAAGCGCACAGCCATGAGCACTATTACTGGAAATAGGCCCCAGAACTGTGACTCAAGGAATGGAAGCAACTGCACCTGTGTGGGGTGGTAGCGAACACGCAAGCTGGTCAGTCATTTGCTTCTTGCCACCTTCATTCTGTCTATCACGGCAGCTAATACACGATGACAATGGAACACCTCTTACATCAAAATCCAGCAGTCTCAAAGTGACCCACATGGCTCCGTCTTATCAGTCAGACTCAGCACGTATGTGTGGTTATATAAAGAGGATGTACCAAGTTGCCAGTTAGGTTCTAGGCTCGCCAAGGGCCTGCCCAGAGCTTTTAAGCTGACAGCAGGCTTACGCTAGTTTGTGAAGCATTGTTTAACACCGGAAAAAGAAAAGTCTCCGGTTTGAAGGCTAACACTCTGAAACACACTGATAACAACTTAAAGATTAAAACGGCAAGGAGATGTAAACCTACAATTAGGATTTCAAGGTAAGGTAGAAACTGGATTGCAGGCAAAGCTCTGTGTGGGCAAGTAGAAAGAAAACAACGGAATTAGTTTAAAATAAAAAAGAGAAAATAGAGTGGAAACAGAAATGTGAATATTAGATGGTAATATAGAAATTTTATGGAGCCCTTCCTTTACATTTTTATGGCAAACATATTTATTCTTAATGTTTAAAGAAATTAACTGTTTTATTTTAGGTTGAGTTCTGAAAATTTCGCTGATAGTCTACACTTGGACAAAATGATTTCATGAGTTCTTGGTGTTTTCAGTAATGATGGTGTTTTGCTACTCTTGATTTCAAATTAAAACCCTTGGGGTAGGCCATGGAGAAGCACTAACTTCCTTTGTGCAGCAGTCTTCGTGTGTGCTGGCATGCTGCAGCCTAGAGACAGCGCCCATGAAAGATGCGGGGCAGCATCGACTGGCAACGTGTGATTGAAATGAATGTGTCCAGGTTGCAACATTACACACTGTCCTAACACTTCTTCCTGTGTGTCTGCCGCCTCTTCTTGTGGCAGTTGTCATTTGTCTCTGAAAGCTTGCCTTATTGATGTGTAAGAGAATACCTCTGAGTTTGGGAATGCAAATTTGCCAGTCAGCAAAGAAGCCACATGACTGCCTTTTTTTTTTTTTTTAACTCAACTCATTTTCTGAAAATAACTCTGAAAGTATTCATGTTTTATCGATCTCCTGTGTCACATGGGCCACACCACTCCATCCATTTCCCACACTGATCTTTCCAAACGTGAGTCAGGACACTGGGGACACTGGCTTTCCTGGTTACATTGGTTTTTCAACTGAAGGATGACCTTGATATGCTGTTGGCTTTATCAATTAGGAGGTGCGTGGTCTCTTGAGTTGCCCTGGGATTGTGTTTCAGGTCAGTGATCTTCCCTCCACAGGTTTGTGGCTGCTGTCATTTGGAAAGTAGCTTCTCTGGAGGACAGAAATCATGAAACTGTTGACAGGAAAGATTAGGAGGGAATGATGGCTACTCTTTAGGTACAAATGTTCTTAAGAAAACAAAGGTCCACTGTCTTCTTTTTACCTGCCTTGTGCTACCCCACAATGTCTCCTGTGCCCAGAACCCAATGTGTCATAATACATTGAAAGAACCCATGGTGAATGGGAACTTACAAGCCAGTGCCTAGCAGGAATGACCTGGTGTCCGATTTGGTCAAGGCCATTCACCAATGGATCAGGGTGCTCCATCCCCTCAGATTTTCTCCCAGGGAAACACATGGTGCCCCTGATGGTTTTCTCTATGTACTATGCCTTGCTGCAGCGGAGGCAGATCTCCAGGCAGCTGCTCTACTCATTTGGGGAAGATCTTGTCTTTGGCAGCTCTCTATCCAAGTACCTTCCAGATATGCCAGCCAGTCTTGCCTTCTGTGTGGTTGTTTCTCTTTCCTGATTTGTTTTGATTACATCGTTTACTGAAACTTGGCTTTGTATGACTAGCTACTGGGCCAGCATGCTGGTCTCTGAGCCCTTGGCGGGGATCCATGAAGAAACTCTACCATCAAATATACCCCCAGCCTTTGGAGCCCTGAGCACGTGGCCAGCTGCAGTGATGCTCAGCCCATACCGGGCTTTGTGGAAGTTAGCTTCTTGCCCTGTGCGGCTGCTCTTACACTCACCTTCCTGTGCCTTTTTCATTTAAATCTTGAAATGATGCTTTTTCATCCCAACAAGTATTTATGGGCCTCCATGTGCAAGGCAATGTGTAAGGCATGCAGGGCTCACTCCTTTGGAGTGGGAAGTCGAGGAGCTACAATGTATTATTTATCAGGCCCAGTTCCAGGCGGTTTGCTTAATTTTTCTCAACATATGAAGGATTTGATATTTTCTCTGTTTTTTCAGAGGAGGAAGCAGATTCTAAAATCTGAATAGCTTACAGATTCATCAGAAAGGCAAGGCTGCAGCTGTGCATGTTCACTCCTCACTCTGACTTGGGTCCACCCACTAATGTAGTTTCCCGAATCATGCCATGGAGTATTCCCGAGTTCCATAAAAGTGGCCTCCTGGGTGAAAGTGGAGACTGGATACTCCTCCTTCCAATAAGAACCCTCAGCGCTCATTGGTAACTGAGCATGTTAGCTTACACGATGTTCTGAGGGCTCCTGGGAGTCAAGATCCATTCATCCCAGCATCATCAAAGCTCATGGAAATTTCAGCGTGTCTACAATGCATCTGACAGTCACTGTCTGGGACACGGGCAGATGCAAGTGCCAATCAGCTCTGCTTTGTGACTGAAAGAGCAAGTGTTTCCCTTCTGTGTGTATTTGTGGCCTTTCCTTTTCTGAGTCTCTCTCTACTCCACTCAGAGAGTAAGTGGCCTGTGGGGAGTTAGAGGGCTTTGAAGCTATTCCTCAAGGAGAGGCCATCCACTCCAGATATGTGTGTATGTGTGTGCACATGTATGTGAACATGCACTGACATGCTGAGGCAGAAGGGGAGAGAGGAACTGGGTTTTCTCTCTGGATGACTTGGCTGACAGAAATCTGTAAGTGGATCTTTCGGCTGGACCCGATACTCTTCCCTCCATCTGTCTAGCTGCATGAGAAGCACTGATGTAACTGGGTAGTCTGGAACCCTGTTTGGGTTTTGTTTCTTGTTTGTTGGTTGGTTTGTTGGTTTTTGTCACTAGTGTGCTAGCTGTATGCTTAGAAAGTCTGTGCAAAGTTTACATTTTCTTTATGAGGTAAAATATAAGAAGACATTTTCTTCAGTCTTAAGTAAATCTGTTTCCTTACCATGTTTTTTCTGCTTTTCTCATAAAAATTGACATGTTTATATAAGGAAAATGCATGATTTCATGTATATCCTACATCAAATAATGTGCTCAAGAAAGATATCAAGATGGGTCTGGAAAGGTAGCTCAGCAGTTAAGCACTGGCTGCCCTTTCAGGAGACCCAGGTTCAATTCCCACCACCTACCTGGTGGCTCACAGCTACCTGTTGGTATCTCCAGTTCCAGAAGATTCAACACCCCGTCCTGGCCTCTGTGGGCACTACATGAATATGGTACACCTGTACAAAAAATATCTAAAAATATTAGTACAAAAATGAGTTTGAGATCATTGAAGTGTGCATGTCCTAGCTCTTTGATGAGTGGTCTGCACATTGTATTTTGTTTGACTTTAGGCTTTGCGTATGCATTTACTCAACCCACCAAAGGTTTATAAATATTTGAAAACTTTTTTTTTCTCTAACTGAGGTCAAACTAAAATAGATCACTTTAAAGTGAACAGTGCAGTGACATTTAGAGCATTTGCAATGTGCAATTCCTAACCTTGGACTTGTTCTAAAGAATTCCCCTTCACCCCAAGTTCCCACCTATCAGTCAGTCCTGGTCCTGCTTCCCAAGCTCTGGCAAGCATCTGCAGTCTGTGTGTAAGGATTCATGTGTCTTGATAATGTGCATATATGGAACAATGTAGCATGTGGCTTTTGTTGTCTATCTTCTCTCACTTAGTATTCTTGAGGGTTTTGCATGCTGTAGCATGCATCAGAATTTCATTCCTGTCTTATGCCTGAGAAAAATTCCACTGTATGTATATACCAAAATTTGTGTACCCATTCATTTCTTTCTAGACCATTATCCTACCCCATATCCATGTAAATAAAGCTGGTGTGGACCTGATTTTACAAGGGTTTGCTTGAGGCAGCCATTTTCAATTCTTTTGGTTATACACCTGAAGTTTAATTATTCAGTAACACATTCACTATTTTCCCTAGTAACTAAACCATTTCATATCCCCATCAGCAATGCACAGGCCTTCAATCCTGTGCATTTTTCCTAATACTTATTTTTCTTCTTTAATTAAACCTATTCTAATGGTTATAAAACATCATACTGTGCTTTTGATTTTTATTTCTTTAGTCTGATGAGGTTGGGCAGCCTTCATGTGTTTGCTGAGCAAATCCTACATGTTTTCTTGGAGAAATATCTACTCAAATCCTTTGCCTGGTTTTGTGTTTGTCCTTCACCCGCTGTTAAGCTCACTGATACTTCAAATGAGCTCTGCATTAGGCACCCAAAAGATTCACGAAGAGGCAAAGAACACTCCCATAAAAATGCATCTATGGCACTTGGCAGGGGATTGTTACAGGATAAAGCAGGAATGGTTCAGTGATTGAGGCAGTTGGGGAGGCATGCTGGGCACTTGTGTGTTTACTTTGCTGTGACGCCTCATAATGAAGTTTGCCCCATCTTTGTTATAAACTGAGCCAAGGGCATCACCTGCTCTGTTGCTTCTCTGACACTGGAACAATCACTTCACATTCCTGGATAACTGTTCTCTGTCATCCCTTCCTACCTACAAGATGTCTTGCATAATGAGCTACCTGGGGGCAGGAACAACTGTTAAGCTTCTCTGTTTGACTCTCTAAGAAATAATTGGAGATGTCTTATGCATTATCTCTGCTTTCTTTTCAGAGATTTATGGAGAATAGCAGCATAATTGCTTGCTATAATGAACTGATTCAAATAGAACATGGGGAAGTTCGCTCACAGTTCAAATTACGGTATGTAGCAAAATAAGACAATACTTGAGGTTAAGGATTCGTTAGAAAAATTGTAACTGTCAACAGGCTGAAGCTCACAGATTTATAGCTGCTGTCTGGGATTTGGAAGCTAGTTAGACTGCCAGTCAATGGCAGTATGTTAACTAGAATCCCTTGATATAATGGAATAAATTGAAAGCATGTCTTTTTTGACAGTATCTTCCACTCTTTGTGGAAGTGTTAAAATCATAGCCTAGGAAGTCCTGATCAATTTTCATATAATTAGATTGAGACTAAGAGCAACCTTTAAAAATCACTTTCAAATTCTGACTTCCAACTTCATAAATTCCTGCTGGATTGTTATAGTTGGGGAATCCAACTAAAACATTTATTACACTAACCGTCATAATGGCTATGCGGCTATTTCATGTGGTGTCTGTGGCCTCGGTCTGCATGGCATATCATTGAGAAACCAACTTTGGGTCTCTAGGTAGGTATGTAGTGCCTGCCTTAAGAGATGGCTTCTCATTGGCCGTCCATTTATGTGGGTTTCTTTTGCTGTCATCTACTTACACCGGTCTAGTTTAGTTAAAGCTCTGCTCTGGCTTGCTGTTAAGCACCTAATTTCTTCAATCTGCCCTCTTCAAGCCAGAGTATACCTTTGGTGCTGTGGAGCTTCCTGCCTCCTTCAGGGACATCTCTACGTGGCTTCTCTCTCTGGCCAGTGCAAAGACAAAGAGAAGTTCTCTCTACCATAATTATGCTTTTAATCTTCATTACTTACTTTGTTTCCAACTCTGACAGGGTAGTTTTAAAGCTAATTTTTCTCCAGTCCCTAGGGAGCAGAATGATTGGCATAGAGCCACAGAAGCAGGTTGGCTGGGTCTAGGTAGTTGCTTCTGGTGATAACAGTGGTGTAAGAAATGACGTGTTAGATTAAGCAGTCACTCTCTTAGATGGGGATGTGGGGATGTGGTGTTTTCTGGGGTGTGTGTGTGTGTGTGTGTGTGTGTGTGTGTGTGTGTGTGTGTTAAGAATGTTGGTATTGCTATCAAGCTGAGATTAATCTCTGAGGCTCAATGATGGCAGAAGCAGATGACTCCAGCAAATTGTCTTTTGACCTTCATGTGTATCGTTCCATGAGTGTGCATAACACACACACACACAGAGTAAGTAATAATAAATATTTTTTGTAAGAAGTCAAAGTTTACCTTAAGGAATAGAATAGTATCAAGGGCATTTTGAATGTTTTAAATAAGTTAAATCCCTTGGTTTCTTTTTATCTGTATGTTTGCTTCAGGTAACCTCGTACAAATTTTCTAAAAACAAAAACAAAACAACTACCTTTACTTTGCTTCAGTAATTTGTTCTTTTTAATAATGTACATTAAGTTTGTATATTTCCTGGGAGCCTCTGTTGATTTTTACTGAGAGTAAAACAACTTAGAACTTTGAGTTTTGATGGTTTTGCAAGAAATAACAAGAGAAATGAGAGAGATTTTGTTGAGTTTTTATCCTTCAATTTTATTTCTTACAATAAAAGCAGATGGCCCATCATCTTATTGCTGTGTCCTGGAACCCCTCATGCTATTTTGGATCAGCACTTCTGTATTCTCTGGCAACAGAACATGTGATGGTCCTGTTATATGGTGTCCCAATCCAGATTCCACAGAGATTTGAGTGCTGGGGTCCCCTCAAGGAGGTTCCCTCACATTGACCATGGTGAGCAAGACTCAAGTAGGCCTGGTGGTCTGAAAGCCCCATCAGCCAGCCCCATCTTTAGGCCACTGTGCAGCTGAGATCTGTGTAGACCAGGATGTGTGGGAGTTCTATTGGTCTCATTATATCACAACTGCAAGTTTCTCAGCTCCTAACACTATGAGCTCTACAACTGCTCATCTGCTCTCTGACAGGAACTGGTTGGAAGAGTTGGGCTCCTTGCTGGGGTCATAAGGAAATGTTCAGTCTCTTCATGTAAATCAGCTTGAAAGGAGTCACTGGACTTAATGAGTGAGTGGGGCTTGGCTCACTTGTGGATGTTCCCTCCTTCTCCACCTGTGATAATATTGGTTTTCTGTCCTTCCATCAGCTTTGCTGGGGTTCACTCCCTTTGGGGATCTGGGAGTTCATGCTCATTATTTGAATCTCCCTGGGTCTACAAAATGTGGACCCAGCAGACAGAGGACAGTGATCCAGACAATGGCCTTGCTCCAGCTCTTTAGGGCATTCAAGGACATAGAGAGCATCTACCTGTACCCCAAGACAGACAAGCAACTATGTATGTCATTTGTTAAAGACTGGAAAATGAGCTCTTTATTATACAATGCCAGAATAATTATAGTCTAATTATGTAATACTTTCCCCTACAATTCCGCCCCCAGCTGCAGCTAAATATGTAACATGACTGTCATTCTGCAAGGACACAGCCTGCACTGCATGATGCTACCAGTGTTAAAGCTGGACACTTCAGTCCAGGACTTTAAGAATGGTGACTACCATTTATACTTTACCAAACAAAGAAACAACTCAAGTCTGCTCTAATAGAGCAAATGATGGGCTTACCTGTAAACTTCCTCTGTGTAGAATATATTTTAGGGACATCAAACCTAATCCCTACTAGGCACATTTGTTGGGTTACTCTACTGAACAGAGTTCATGAATAGCAGTGTCCAGGATGAACCAAGCTCTAAACGGTGAACACATAGTGCTTTTACTGTTCTTGGGTTTCTTTATCATGAAAAGACCTTGTCACTAAATTAAGGACAGTGATTTAGCAACCTAGCAGAAGTCTATGCTCATACGGTTCCAGCGTTCCTTCCCATTATTAGTGTAGGAGTTGCACAGAAATCATGTTTATTTTACCTAAGACAGCAGCAGTCTTCAGTTTTTGAAAGATTTGGGGCCTGATGGGTGAATGTCTTGTGGCGCACTACATCTCTCATGAACACATCTGCAGAGCCTTTATCTTTACATAGGTCTGTGCAGTAGCTGATGTGTTGCAGCAGTGGGCACAGAGCTGGGAAGACTTAAAATAACCATCCCTTCTCGTCCACCTCCCGTGACTGCCACCAAGTAGCAATCCCATGCTCCCCCTTGCCTGTTCTTCGGTCTGCCTGGATAATTTTGAGCCTCTGATTGAATGTGAACCTGTGTTCAGGATCTTCTCAAAAGCCATTGACTTGATCAGCTCTACTCTTGTTTAGGGGAGTGTGCATGAGTGTGTGTGTGTGCGTGTGCGTGTGCGTGTGTGTGTGCACGTGCGTGCGTGCGTGCGTGCGTGCGTGCGTGCGTGCGTGTGTGTGTGTGTGTGTGTGTGTGTGTTCTGTTTGGATAGAATCCAGATGAAGTACCTTTCTGAGATATGCAGAACAGCGCATGACATTCCAGCCACAACTGACCGGAAGACATTGAGAGCCAGGAGTGCTCTCCATGTGATCTCAGCTGCCTATCACCCTGGTTGTACAGGCTGTACAGACGGGCCCTGGTGCCTTTAGCACACGCTGGGCCACATGCTGTTTATGGACTTTCTACCTGTGCTCCGGGACAGTGGCCTTTCCCATCTGAGCCTCTGAAACCCTTATGAAGGCACAGAATAAATAACATTATCTATTATTGTTCCCTCCTGCTTCCTTTTTTCCTCCCAATTTTATAACCTCTAACCTTAAGGATAAAAAGTAAGGGCATCTGAGAATGCATTTCATGGTTCCCAAGAGCAGAAACTATTAAGGCTACAGTTTTTCTGCCTGAAAAGTATGAATAATTAATACCAGCAATTAGGTTCCCCGGTTCTAAGAACATGACTCAAATTGATTGTCCCATTTTGCTGTGGGTTTATTTAAATAGAGCCATCAACCCGAAGAGGTCAAGAAGTCCTAAAACATCACAGCTGGCCATGAGTGGCACAGTAGGGACAGGACAGTGGATGTTGCATCCTTCCTGTTCCTGCCAGTGTCCCTTCATGTCGATGGACAGTGTAGGGGTTTGCTGTGTCCTTCTGAGCATTACATGTACTGGAGTGTTTAGGTTTTATGGATAACCAGAATGTGATGTACAAGGCTCTTGGGCTTACTTCAGAACTGCCTTGAGAACGGACAACATGAAGTACCCATTTGCATATTTAGTTGAGATGTACAGATACTTTACAGAAAACCCTATGCCAGAGAGGAGCATGACAAGATGTGTTCATTAGAACTTAATTACCCAGCTCTCAAAGCTGACAAATTAGCCTACGTGGAGTCTGTGTCTCCACGCATCACTTCTGAAAGGTCGTTAGTATCTGGAACGGCTTTCCCATGGAGCTGAACTCAGTTTAGACCAGCTGTCTGGGAAGCTCTTTTGATAAGCCTGGCTCTTGCTTGCTTCTCAAGAGGTAGTGCAGCGATGACAGTGATAACAATCTTAGTATCCTTTTTAATGTTTTGCTGATTTTATAGAACATGTTTGCAAACACAGTGGTGGTGGCTAGACAGTATACAGTATCAATTAGTTGGGTGCACAATTGCAATGAAGAAATAGCCTGCAGGGCTCAAGAATGTCAGTGGCATCAGGCTAGTCCCATTCTCTGTCTCACTGACCAGAACATGGATGCTTGCCTTACCTATCCATATGCAGATAGCCTCATCTCTGCATCCATAGAAAGAAGCATCATCCTTCAGTGTGCTGAGGTCCTTCTTACTGCAGGCTGGTTAACTTACTGAGTCCCATTCAGATAGACTCAGGGAAAAGATAGGTTGCAATTAGTTTTTCTTTTCTCTGTATTCGTCCATGTGTGGTCCCAAGCACTTTGAGAAATGCCTGCATAAGTCATCCATTACTCTGATCATTAAAAAAAAAAAGCCCATGAAATAAATGTTCTTATAGTCCCTCTCTAGATGGGGAAATCAAGGACAAGCAAAGACCAGAAGGTGCCCAGGATCCTAGAGCGGGAAAATATAGTCCAATTTTACCTAGTACTCTGTCATTTCCAAACAAGTAGGTCAACGTGGCAGCAAATTATACTCCCTCATGGTAGGAAAATAACAGTAAAGAATCTGCTCTACAAGAAGAAATATCCATCCCATAAATCAACCTTTCCCTTTCTTTTTATTTTTTTCTTTACACCATGTAAGAACGCCTTCCCTGGCTTTAAACAGTCTATCTAAATAACAGGGGTCATCTAGACATATGGTTGCTGTGTTGGCTAGTACAGAGCTTGATGTATTTGGAGTTGTTTTCTACGAGGGAATTTGAGAAAACAATAACAACAACAAAACAAACACACAATTGGCGCCTGATTTCAAATATCTGAGGTACACAGGTGAGGTCATCAAGGGGAGAACCATTAGAAAGTATACAGGTGTGACGAACTGGATAAGGGGGATCAGATCCACCTGCCACTCCTGTCTTTCCTCATACCAGTGGGTGCGGCTGTAGGCAAAATGGCATCGCAAACCTAAGAAAAGGAAAACAAATGTTATTTTGTGTGTTGCAAAAGGCCAGAATACCCCAAGGTCAGGCAGGGTCCGGCTAGGTTCTTCTAATCAGCGGGCACTTGCCCTTCTCCATGACTATGACTGGCCCTACTACAGCATTGCACGTTGTATTGAAATGTCAAGACTTGAGGGAATGCCAACTGTGAGGCCCTAACAGTAATAGAGTGTATAGTGCCAGTGACTCTGGGGTCTGTCTATGTTGCTAAATGAACAAAGTTCAAACAATGTTTGTATAGAACTAACTCCAATCTTATGCATCTTTCAGGGCCTGTAATTCAGTGTTTACAGCGTTAGACCACTGTCATGAAGCCATAGAGATTACAAGTGATGATCATGTGATTCAGGTATGGGAAGAAACGCTTTGCATCATCAACACTAAAAAAAGAGCTTTTCGGGTTCTATCCATCTCTTTATTTCAAAAATATTTCACATATTTGCACATTTTCTTGAAGAAAGGGAAAATCAATGTATGCGATTGCTACTGATAAACTTAAGAATGGGCTATGCAAAAGAGAATAAAAGTTATTTTATGATATATGATTTTTAAAGTGTGTGTGTGCATGTGTGTGTGTGTGCATGTGTGTGTGTGTACACATGAGCATATGTATGTGGGTGCCTGTAGAGTCCAGTCCAGGAGAGGGTATCTGATACACGGAGCTATGGAGTTATGGGCAGTTCTGAGCCAGCCAATGTAGGTTCTGGAATTGAACCCTGGTCCTTTAACAGAACAGCCAGTGCTCTTAACAATTACCTCTCTAACCCGCCTAGGATAAACTTATTAATTCAGATCAGAAATTGCTACTTCCTAGGTAGAGGTGAGGGAGAATTTTAGGCCATTTATAAGGACAATATTCACACAGGGTTGTTGAGCAAATGTTTCTAAGTGGCTATGGGAGCAGAATACTTTAAAGATACATGTTCATCTGCCATTGGTATTCTATTATAAAGCACTGTAATGCTACTGCCATCTTTCTCAAGAAATATACACATAGAGAATCTTTTACCTGCCTTAAAGAGTACTCTGAAATGTACTCGGTCCACTGATTAGTACTGGCCTGGCTGCGCTGGTGTGCAGTGTCACTGAGGAGCACTTGCTTTCATCAGTGACCAGCACACCGTGGCCCCTGTGGCATCAGCCTCCACGTAAACACTCTGATGTCCTCAGTGTGCACACAGGCATGCCTCGCTCCTGTCCCAGGTCACAGGTATGACGGGCCCACCACACCTGGTCCCTATCATGAGCAGTTCCACGGTAGTCTCAGCTTTGAGTGGCAGATGGGGAAACTGAGGCCTAGCAAAGTAGAGGGCTAGCAGTTTGCGCTGAAATCAAGTTATTTTGCCACATCCTTACTCCTAAGCCGTCCTGCCTGGCTGCATTTGGGGGTATATTTAGAATATCTTTGGCTGTCCCCTGAAATAAAACTGAAGGCTTCTATGCATTGCTGGCTATGTTTACACTTCCCGCCCACAGCTCCATATCCTAAACCACACGGAAAGCTGGGCACAAGCCCCATGCTCACGTGCAAACATGGTCCTTCAGTCCTGCTCATGAGGACACTGGCTTTGCATCTGCCTGCGTCATAATAGGAAGCTGGGTTGTAATTCAGAACTGTTGAGAAGTAGCCCTGCCCTCCCATACCTTCTCCACCCTGGACAGGAACAGAGTCCTTTGCCTCTGTGACCCCAATCTGTGGTTAGCAACCCTGAATCCCTGGGAGAAGTAATGTGGTGATGTGTCACATGACATAAATTATTCCCTGGCTCCAGTCTCTTCCGTGGACAGAAAGAAATGGATGTGAGGGTAGTTGGTGCCCACACAGGGGAAGTTGCTATGCTGAAAGGGGCTTGGTCCTGAAAGAAGCTGGGCATGTGAGAGGAAGAAAGGGGAAGGAGGGAGGGGGCGGGGCATGGAGGGGACACTCAGCTGACCCTCACCTGGATTTCAGGATGGCGTATCAAGAACATCACATATGTCGTTGCTTTCACATCTCAGGGCACTTGAACAGATAGCCGTGTGTCTGTGAGCACAGGTGATAGACGCACTTAGAAACAGCATCGTATGTGTCAGTCTGTCCATCCCTGACAACTCTATGCCTCCTTCCACATGAACCATCCATCTGCATTTGCTCTGAAAACATTTGCATGTGCTTCCCATGTGCTGGCACAGCTATTAGCATGTTATACTCACTGATCTCTCAGCCACCCTGGGAACCAGGTGAGAGAACAAACAGATGAGAAAATGAATGGGGGGACGGGGAGGGCAGAGGAATGGAGACATCCTCTTACGGTTCCAAAGGGTTTGAATGTAGGTGCACTGCTCAGTCACGTCTGTTGTGCCGCTGGGTTCTGAGGTTCCAGGATCTCCAACATAAAAGGGAACCATAACCGTTATTCAGATTTACAGAATGGGAAAGTGGACCCACACGTGTGGCAGCGTAGGAGACAATCTGCAGAGCAGGAAAAGAATAACCTCTCTAATGTACCCAGTGGGTGTTTGCAGCACAGTGTGTCTCCAGACACAGCTCCGGCCTTCTCACCTGAGTGAGAGGAAGGCACATTTCAAGCTCTATGGGACTCATTGGAGTTTACTTCACAGAAGCCCATGGGAGCCCTTAGGAATGGTTCCAACTCAGATAGAGCAAAGGTCAAAGAAGGCTTCCTGGAGGAAGAGGTGCATTGGAGTTGGTGGAGGCAGAAATGAGGAAGGGCTTTCTCAGCAGTCAGACAATGTAGGGGAAAGCTTAGAGAGGGAGGCATGCTGTCAACTCTACCCTGGTGGGAGTGACCCCTGCCATGCCCAAGGAGAGCAATGTCTGCCCCATGGAAATGCTAGTCTGGGAGGGATCTGGATGTCAAGAAGATGAGGTCAGGTCCCCCTCCTCTCCATCCTCCCATAGTGCCTGACAGCCTGAGATTCCTTTCCTCTACACCCTCATCTCTTCAGCTCTTGGGGCTGATATGTTCATAGAAGCTTTGCTCCCAAGGGAATACCACCCCCACCCCCGCCAGTGTCCCTGCATTACCCACTTCCTGATGGAGTACCCTAGCCAAGGGGAGGGTGGGAATGGCTAGTGAGAATGTTTCTGAGGCAGCAGATGGATGGAAATTTTTCCCAAAGAAACTGTTGACCCAGGTGCAGTGTGCTCACATCTGCCACCCCTTTCTCTCTGAGCTACAGCTACTCATGTGATGACTGTATCTTTAAAAAGAAATTGGTGGAAGGCTGGAGCCTGGGGCCAGATAAGGCAGTTGCTCCAAATTCCAGAAGCCTCTGCAGAACTTTGCCCATGACCCCGTGAATCTGCTGACCTCCGAGTACACCGTGGGCATCCTCTCTCCTTGCCCACCCTAAACCCTGCACTGGAAGAGCATGCCTTGGCTCTATAGGCTAACCACATTTGTTATTCACATTAGGTCAGGGTGCTCCCAGCCGGTGCACTGATTAATAGACGGGGCAAAAGGAAAGACATATAACATCACATAGCTGCATGGTATGGTGTGACTAACAGAAGCTGCAACTTGATGAGTAGTCTGTGTTGGCCTATTTGTTTACTGGTACTGGGGGAACCTTACATGTGCCAGGCAAGCACTATGCCACCATGCTGTAAATCCAGCCCTCTTCCTAGTTCTGTTTTCCTATGGGGATGGGGTGGTAGACAGCTAATAAGGTCCAATCAGAGGCCGGGGCTGCTAGCTGAGGTTTTGCTGCTTCCTTCCTGCTGAGGTTCTTTGCATTTCTCACAGAGGACCAGGATGTCATGTGAAGGAATCGATTGCCATATGTGTGAGAGAGGGTACTGCTCCTAGCAGATTAGAGAGTGCTGTCCTGGGGACATTTGGCTCTGTATATTTGTATCCCACAGCCTCCCTGTAGGGCACACTGATCTGTAACCCCTCCTACTCACAGTATGTCAACCCTGCCTTTGAGAGGATGATGGGCTACCACAAAGGGGAGCTTCTGGGGAAAGAACTCGCTGACCTACCTAAGAGTGACAAGAACCGGGCAGACCTCCTGGACACCATCAATACGTGCATCAAGAAGGGAAAGGTGGGTGGAACCAAGAGCCCACTCACACTCCTCCCTTAGTGTCCCCCGGCCCCTCCCCCATGTCTTAGTCTTTTGTCTTTTAGACTGACTTTAGTATCTTCAAAGTTCAGTGAAAGCTTCCCTTTGCAGTTTGCCAAAGGAGTTGATGAGTTAATTCTCCATGCCAACACGGTGACACAGGAGCTGATGGTTTTGTGGGCAGGCCACTTGCCCCCCCTTGCATGACTGACCCCCCCATCTTAACATTGCACCCCTGAGCAGATTTCTACCCCAGACAGCTGCTTCCCACTTTTTCCTTTCTTTGCGTTTGGGAGGAGGGGCTAGAGAGACCTAAAATCCACATTGACTGGTAGGTTCTGTTGGTTGAGTCAACCATCTTCCATCTCCCTTCTGGTCTCTTTTACTCACTGCTGTGCAGCGTCCTCCCCAGGTCCCCTCTGCCCCCAATCTCTGTGCTTTTCTGCTGCTTCTGGGGGAGATGTTTCCCGGGCAGTAGCTCTGCTCCCTCAGAGCTGGAGTAACCTCTTGCTTCTGAGGTGACCTAATGCTTCTTCACACGGCTTTGCTTTCCTCTTCTTTCCTCTGTTGTGCAGTAGTTAAGCATCATCTTCCTTGGAGAGGGGAACGTTAGCAGGGGTAGAATAAATCTGAATTATTAGAATGTCCAAATGACTTTTAAAATCAGATCTATTAGACTTGAAAATGAACAGGATACTGTAAGTACTCCATTATGTGTGTGTGTGTGTGTGTGTGTGTGTGTGTGTGTGTGTGTATGTGTATGTATGTATACACACACACACACACACACACACACACACACACATATATATATATATAGTTAAAATGACCTAGCCACATGTGGCAACCTCAAAGGGCACACTCTTTAGACATTTCATATACAAGAGAGAGTAAAATATGGTTGCAGGGGACCTCAGTTTCAGAGCTATCTACTTCCTTCCAGAAACTGGAGAAAACTCCCTACCCTGAGGCTTCCTGCCTGCAGTCCAGTTCCTAGGGTCCTGTGGCAGCAGGAACCTCATGCTCCCCTTGACACCATCTTATAGAAACTGCAAGGAACCATAGTGACCTTTGGGTGGGAGCCCCCTAGAGTCTCGGAAAGCTGAGGCACTTTGGGAAGGATTAAGGAAGTATACAGTTGTGAATGGATCCTCTGTTTCCCTGTGTGGGCAAGAGAGTTGGACTCTCTGAGCCTCAGTTTACCCATCTGTCAGTTATAATATCAGGCCCATGGGTTGTTGTGAAGGCTGGGACTGCCTACTGAACTCTGTGCAGTGGCACCCGAGGGATCTCCAGCTGCCCTGGAACTCATGGCAGGCAACTTGATAGTGGACATGCTGGCCTGGAGCTCTTACACTTAGACATGGTGCTCTTGTTAGCGCTGTAGTAGGTACAAACGTACAGCAGTTTTGTGACATGCATTAGAAGTCTGGGAAGTTCTGACTCAACCTACAAAGATGCAGTGTGGGAGCAGCTGTGGTCTCGACTGAAGGATCTCAAGAGCTCTCTTTGTCCATGTAGGAGTGGCAGGGGGTTTACTATGCCAGACGGAAATCCGGGGACAGCATCCAACAGCACGTGAAGATCACCCCAGTGATTGGCCAAGGAGGGTGAGAGCAAACTCTTCCACTCTTTCTGCTGCAGATAAAGATTCAGGCTCTCATGGACATTAGAAGCCGTAGGATAACACACACAATAGCATTTGCTCTGTCTATTGTGGCCAGCAGCAATTTCTAGGCACGGTTTTCCTCTGCCCCTATCTCCTACCCATGCTCCTTCATGCAGCATCAGCCCTATTCCCCAGCTAGCCACCTGGTCATGATTGGCCCCATTGTTCCCAACACCTCTCAGCATCTCTGGCTGTCCTTCCCGCTCAGCAAGTGAACTCCAGTTAGCACTATTGGCTTCTGCCCTGGCCCACAGAGTGCTACCCTCCTCTCTTTGAGGCCCCAGTTTGTTCCACATTGACTCTGAGCTTAAACAAGAGCTCAGAGTGTCCTAAAGGTACTAACCTACAACACAAGGTGTCTGAACAAGAGCCATTGACACCTGACCAGAGAAACATGGGGGTATGGCTTGAGAAGTAAAGCATATGATTCCCTTTCCTTCTCTCAATCATACTCTGAGGAAGTCTCCGAGGGCCAGGTGGGAGCCCTCACTATATCTTACTGATGAGCCTGGCAACCAGCATGAGGGTCAATACTACAGGATGGTTTGACCTCGTAAGGGATACCTGATGTGTGACATATTGGTGAAATAATAAGATAGTGGTTGCTGGGACCCAAATAACCCCTCTCACATATGATTTCTAGAGCCACCTAAGTTCATTTCAGCTCATTATGTGATTAGGAAACCAGCCCATTCCAGAAGATCGCCTATCTATCCGAAGGCTGCTTCCCTCCAGTTTTCCTTTCTGGATTGGTTTGAAATTTGTCCTCCAGGCACTTAAGAGGCCACTGCCTAGTGTTTCTTTTGCGGCTCCTCTCTGGCTGGCTTCTGGGTTTCGCGGGTCCTGACAGGCTCCTAAACAAGGCTTGTCCACCACAGGGAGAGGTTGCCTGCCCTCCCTACAGGCACTGGCTCAGCTTAGCCATCCCAACAGTGGCCGATACAGAGCCACAGGAAAGAGCTGGTGCCTGAGGCTGTCACACTGTCTTTATGGCCAGTCTTAGACTGTCTTCTTGGAAAACGGAACTGTGTGTGTGACGAGAGTCAGTGGGCAATCCAAAAGGAGGGAACATGCTACTGTCTGGTAATTTCTATCTATTTATCTAGATATAGATAGATAGATATAGATATATTTTTCAGATTTGACAGATGAGAGAAAGGAGTTCTTTTATCCAGATATGATTTTGTGTTATTTTCCCTAATTGTAGGCAGTGAGCTCTCAGAGGCAACTCTGATTAAAAAATAGGGACATTTTAACCCTTCTTGCTTGGGTGATGTTCATATTACAGATTCCATCAGGGTTTTCCCATGTTCTTGACAGAGAACTCCCCCCCCCCCTGCCCCGTGAAGTGAACCAGGTGGGAGAACCAGATAGGGGGAGGGTTGCCATAGACTTCCAGGTGTACCGTCCTACATAGTGTATTCCACAGCTCTACTCTAAGGAGACAATCTACCTTGGGCTGACTTGCACAGGGCTGGTGCATCTGGCATCTTTGATCCTAGTCTCCTCGTGACAATGAGCAAGACCACAGGCTAAGTTCCTGGATTTAGTTCATGACTTTTTTAATCGAAGGATGTTTGCCTCTGGCTGAAAAAACAAACAAACAATCAAAAAGCCATCCTTTTGCTGAACCTCAGCGTGCAGGGAAGACCATGCAAACCACTGTCTTGTCGTGACAGTGAGCCATAGTGTGCCATATAAAGAGCCGAAAAGAAAAACAGCAAACACTGAAATGTGGTCACTTTCCAAATGAGCCTTTGCTTTTCCTGTGAGCAATAAAATATTTGTGTCAGTAGAATTAAAGCCAGTCCCCCCCCCCCCCCCCCCCCGTGGTAGCGTGTCGAACTTCAGGAGGCAGCTGAAAAAGACTGACAGGCCCGTGAGCAAGGAGTGTCCACACCAGCCAGGCTTGCAGGGAGGCCAGGCTTCCAAAGGAAAATGAGGTTTCGTGACCAAATCGGCGCTGGGGAGGGCCTGGCGTTCAGCTCTGAGGAGAGCGGTTGTATCCGTGTGCTGCCTTATTGCATCGTCTTCTTCCGACTAATCACCGATTGTTTATGTTATTAGGAAAATTAGGCATTTTGTCTCCCTCAAGAAGCTGTGCTGTGCCACTGACCATAACAAGCAGGTACAGTACTCGGTGTCCTCTGCCGCTCTGTCAGCTTGCCCATGCGTCATTCTTGCCCTTGTGCTCTGCTTGTCTCTCTCCATATTTCTTGTAATTGCTATCTAAGGAGGTGTATGGGGAAGCCTCTGGCAGGGTTGCTTTTTTCCCAGTTCTCTACAATCCTGCCTTACTTTGTTAGGAGTGTGCTTTGGTTATGCTATGTCTTGTGGCTCTCTCCAGGCTAATACATTTTATGGGAACATAATATTCTTCTTCAAATCCAAAAGGGAAAAAAAATGTTCCATTTCCTATCTTAATTTCTTAAACAAATGAAAAGTATATGAATGCATGTGAGCATTCACTCTGCCAGCTCACAGCCAAAACGAGAACCATTCCAAATCGCTACTGTGATTTTTTTTTTAACATTACATCATGGAGTGCAGTGCATTTTGAATGCTGTCTTCTGAAATAATGGAAACTTAGCAAGTTTTTAGGGTTAAGAATGTTTTAAGGTAGTTTTCTAATGTTACAGTACTGTTTGAAGTATTTTTATGCCGTCTATATTTTTACTGTTTGATCATGTCGTTTTCCATTTCATACCTTATCATTTATGAGCTATGAAATATGAAATACATATGGCTATTAATGAGCAACTTTCAATGCACAAATAGGATGCTTGAATTTGGCTTTCAAGAAAGGGTCAGTGTCCCTTAGGAATTTTGAGGGCACATGGGGCATAGTCCATCCTTTCCTTGGGTGGTAACAATGAGGGGCAGAATGAGGTGTGGCTAGGTGAGGAGTTGAACTGGCCGCAAGACCGAAGCCCGCGGGGCTATTCCTAGAGAACATTCCAGAGGGGCAGAGGGGCTGCATCACTTGACCTTCATGGAGCCCAGATATCTGTGGTTATATGGCTGGCTCCTAAGACGCATCCTTTCCCACTGAGGACCTAATCTAGGGTGGGAATGACTCTTGGAAAGGAAGGGAATGGACTGTCACAGGGAAAAAAAATCATCAGACAGCCACACTGAGACACATCAGAGCAAGGATGACCTTTCGCATGAGAGGTGCTAAGAAGGAAGGGAGCATGGAATCCGGGTGTCACCTTCGAGGTGGACTTCTGTATACACGTGAGGTGGTGCGGGCCACCATGTTCAGCCTGTGGACACACAGAGGGACAGAAATCAGGCAGGGACAACTCATGTCCAAACTCCAGCATGTCCTTCAATGGAAGCCATGCAGTGGCTCCAGGCCAGGCCCTAAGCAACGCCAAGATCAGCTCATGGTCTGCCGTTTTAGCAAGGGAGCTGAAAGTCGGGCGGTGCTTGCCTCTCCTCCTCCTCACGCCCTCTCATTCCAGCGCCCCACCATCAGTCCCTGTACCCCCGATCCTACTGGTCCTTGGTGGCTCAGCCCAAGAATCATGAAGTAGCTGCTGCTTCCCGAGACCCCCAAAGCCCCTTCTCGCTTTGCCTCCTCCTCATTGTGGAGACTGTCCGTGTGCTAAATTGCCCTCCCCTCTCTAGCAGGGTTACGGGCGGGCTTTGCATGCCCGGCTGCCTGCACATAGTAGGTCTACCTAGGGCTGTTGGTTAGCTTGGGGGAAGTGGAGCGTCTCAGTCCTGGCCTCCAGTGAACTCTGCCTGCTCCCCACAGAGAGTGGGCAGGCCATTAGCATCGGATGCCAGGACACGGAGGCCGCCTCTCCTCTGCAGCTCTAAATAGAAACCCCTTTGCTACCATGAATCAGTTGCTGTTCTGAGAAGAGTGGAAACACAGAGCTTGGATCCCCTGAGCCATTGACGTCACCTAATGGTGCTGCAAGGCCTAAGAGACTCTTAGATTTTTCCAATAATAAAGCAACTTGTCCCTCTGGCTGGCTACAGCGCTTTCCTTTCTCCTGAAAGAAGGCCGAAGCCATGGAGATGGCTCTGGGCTGGGGTGGACTCTTGGAGCAGAGCAGACTGTCTGCAGGCGTTCATTCTGAGGTCCAGCCCTGACGTTAGAATCAACCCGTGGGCTTGCCTTTGAGCAGGGGATGGAGTTGTGTGCCAGGCAGTTCACTTCTGGTCACGCTTGTCATCAGCAAAGACTCATTTTTATCTCTGGGCTCTGAGTTTCTGCCAAGAGGCTGGAAAGCTCAGTAAGGTATGTTGGCTGCACATGCCTGTCTCCCCTCTCTTCATACATGCTGTCCCCCCTCCCTTCACACATGCAGCCCCTGCTCATTTCACACATGCTGTCCCCAGAGCCTCACCAGACACCTGTTCATCACAAGCCCCCAGAAGCCATGGGTCAGAGATAGTAAACAAAGTGTAGCCCAGAGGGAGAGAAAACTTAAAGTGGACAGGCACCAAACCCCAGGTCTGGGGAGGCTGAAGAAGGTATCTGTTGGGGCATGGAGGACCCTGGGCCTTCAAAACCTCCAGTATTTATTGTCTGAATCTCTCCAGGAGGTATTTGCTGACCTTGATTGTAGAAGATAAGTTTCCTTCCTGCCTTCCCCACCTGCTTAGGCCACTTACAGTCTAGGGTTCCCAGACATTTCCCAGCCTTATCCAGTCACACAGACTTTGGACATCCTTTGTCTTCATGTGTCCCTAGCATTCTGTCTTCAGGCTCTGTCTCTGCCACATACAGCCTGTAAAATCCTAGGTCCCTTGATCCTTCTCACAAGGTCTGACTCCAAAGAAGGGGGCATGTGTAAAACCACAGGAATCCAGCACTGCACAGCCATGTCCCAGGCAGATCTGAGTAGGGAAGGGATGGTGAAGGCATCGCCCTGCCAGCCATTCCTGAACTGGCTGGCAGCCTGCGATGCTGAAAGCAGAGACCTCTTTATTGCTAGTTCTCCATACCCGGGTGCTTACACCCGCCTCTGTCTTGACTATGACAGCACAGTGAGCACGGCAATTCCAAAAGCCAGTGTGCTTGAAGTCTGGGGGAAGGAAGCACTGGGAGCCGGTATGCGGGAAGACAGGGCTGCAGTGTGCAGTGTCCGCCAGATAGCGCAGCCTTCTTGTAGAGGTGACACGTGGGGTTGTGGAGAAGCTCTTTGGGGTGGTGCTGGTGTTCCTGCCCCACAAGGAGGTGATTTCCCTAAAGAGTCAAGGAGCACAGCTCTCTGGAGAGAGCTTCCCCATTCCACACTGGGCGTTTTGAGGGGAACAAAGCAGCCGGGCTCAGAAGAAATGTTCCAGCTAATCAAGCATTCAAGGTGGCAGCTGATGGAGGGCAGAAGGCAGCCACTCTGGCCCAGTGTTAAACAGTGCTTCACAGAACTAAGAAGTGGGGGGCCCCACTTCTAGAACCCTCTTGATTCCCCCCCCCCCAACCTTCCTTCATGGAAGAACTCTTGTTTCCACTCACCTGACCTCTGAATGGAAAGTAGCTATTGAACCCAATACGCTAGGCCACTCAGAGCTTCTACTACAGCTCAACACCAGCCTGGTTATCGATGCCTGGGCATCACAGTGTCGACAACACATTGTAGACATAGCTTCCTTGAGGAGCGATGACAGCTAAGGTGGCCAGGCCTACATTGATAAAAGCTTACTTTGAAGTACAAATAATGATTTCTTGAGGGGCAGCGTTAGAAGTGTGAAGTCAGGTTGTCCTCTGGGGGGGGGGGCTGCACCCTGTCATTTTTGAGAGCTACTGGCCAAGGTGAGTGGCTTCATGACTCACAGGCAGCAACTAGTCCTGGCTGGTGGTTAACAGATCACTGGTCCAAGACCAGAGTTTGTCAATAAAGGACTGTCCTGAGCATCCACATTACCCTCCAGACCTCTTCCTGCCAAACAGGTTCCGTGTTGAGTTTGACCCTTTGTATAAAACTGTTATGTCTCACGTGGCATTACAAACAACATCTGCTTATTCTTCAAGGTGCACATCCAAGTGTTGAGGAAAGAAGGCTACAGCTTGAGTGGCTTCTGAGAGGGGTCACTCCCATTGGGGAGTGTGCTTTCTGCCACTGATGTACTGCCACTAGGCAGAGTTTGGATGTACGTGACTTATAGCAAGTGTCCTGAAATATTTGTTGACACATTTTGGGAAGCCACTAAATCAACAAATTTACTCCACATTTTTTCCAGCGAGCTTTCGTATGTATTTATTTGTATGAGGCTATTTAAGGAAAGGCCTCCGATATTGGGAAAGCACACTTTGAACAGGCGACCCCTGAGCACTGAGTGGAGTGCCTGCTAGGCTGGAGGGTACAAGACCCAGAACCTATAGCAGGGAAGAGGGAATGCAGAAGGACTGTAGAGGTACTGTGGCAGTACCTGGTAGGACTGCGTGCATGGAAGGTCTTGGCTCAGAGAAGGAGGAACATTTTTAGTCTGGAGGAGGTAGTAGCTAATTGCTAATTGAGCTGGTTGCGACAGTCTTTGTGAGGCTCAGAGGTCTGCTGCCAGAGACCTTTGCCTGACAAAGGGAAGATACCTGAGGACCTACACTGAGCATCCTGGGAGCGCCTCGCTCAGGTAGACTGGCCAGAAAGCTCAGGCCTTGTGGCTGGCAAAGCAGCTGTGCCAGTGTTGGCCACTTTGAACATGGGTGGGGTCCCTTTGCCCCCTTTCTTTCTTCCCGTCCTCTCTGTCACATCACTGGATGTCGACAAGGCACTTGATCAGTGGTGGGGGATGAAGGAAAAAAGAAAAGAAGGAACTTCGAGTCTGAGCTGGGGAATAGGGTTTGCCTCTGTGAGAATCCACACATGGCTTTCCCCGTGATACCGCGCTGCAGCAGGGGAGGCTCTCTCAGAGTGAGCCTCGGTAATGGAGGCCAAAGCATGGGGAAAAGTTAGTGTGACCCAAGAAAGGTGAGCCCCAGTGGGAAAGGTAGGAAACAGATGTAAGTAAGCGGTTTCTCAAAAGTTAATATCTTGGTTTATCCTAATGTGTTTAAGACAAGCAAGAGGTAAAGGGGTGAGACCTGTGGTGGCGTTTGGGGAGGAAAGCCTTTGCTCTGAAATTTAACTTAACTCTCAAGGGCTGCGGTTTTCTATGGTGGGTATCATT